GTAGAAGCGGTAGTGGTAGTAGTAGTAGTAGTAGTAGTAGTAGTAGTAGTAGCGAAAGTAGTAGTAGCGAAAGTAGTAGTAGTAATAGTAGTAGTAGTAGTAGTAGTAGTAGTGGTGGTAGTAGTAGTAGTAGTAGTAGCAGTAGAAGCAGTAGCACTAGTCGTCGTCGTCGTCGTAGTTTTGTGGCACTAGTAATAGAGGCAGTACAGTAGTAGTTGTTGTTGTTGTCGCTGCGGTAATCGCTGTTCTAGTCGCTGCAGCTGTGGCTGTAGCTGTGGCTGTGGCAGTGGCAGTGGCTGTGGCTGTTGCTGTTGCTGCCTTTGCTCTTGTTCTTGTTATTGTTCTTGCCGTTGTTCTTGATCTTCCTCTGGTTATGGTTCGAGTTCTTGCTCTTGTCGCGTCGTCGTTGCTGTCGTCGCCACCTTTCTAGCAGGAACTAGTTACTGACTAGTGACTAGTGACTAGCAACAACCACAAGCATGAGAGGATCAGAAGAATGCTGAAAGGAAGAAGCATCCTGGCGCAGGGACTCGAGGTCATCCTGGAGATGGGACTGGATTTGGGCTTGAGACGCGAGACCTTGCGTGGCCCTGCAGCGTTGGGGGCTTTGCACTGAATTTACCCAAACCACGCTGTGAGCCTGTAAGGGCCCGATCCAACCGGCACACTACACAACGCTTGCTGCTGCAAGCGGTAGCCTGATGCACGACAAACACCACGCGAATGCATGTGAGTGTTCGTCCGGCGGCTGTCCGTCAAGCAGACATACCCTTTTCTCACTACCTGGCTTTGAGTTCAAGACCCGCATGAAGGGAGACGGCGGGAGACAGGCATCAAATACTCCGGCATTGGCAACCCACCGCAACACAAAAAGTCTGCATTTTGTTTCAACATAACGAGGACCCCCACACCAAAATGCCTCAAAAACTCACAAGACTCCCTGCAGGGGATAACAATATTCCCTGCAAGTTGCTGGGGGATTCACGTGAACCCCTACCTTTAAACTGCTTGGGGAAATTCGGGGAATCAACAATTACATGCAATGATTGTTGTGGAATGAAGGGAGACAAGGAAACCCCAGCAGTGCCCAGCCCAACCAGCACAAGGAAAGAAATTCATTGTCTAAGCTTCGCGAGCAAAAGTTGTCTAATCCTTTTCGACCTGTTGCCCCTCTTTCTCAAATTCTCTTGTGTTCAAGTTCACTAGTCTGTTTCGATATGCTAGCTCCTGTCTGGCATATGCAGGTCCCTCCCTTTCGATGGGAGTGCTGTAATTCTGCGTGTTGTCTCGTTCGAACGTTTTCCCTCCTCGTTTTCACGAACTCTAGTCTGCTTCGAACAGTTTTTTTGTTTTTTTAATTGCTCAGTTTTGTTCAACCGGTTTGCTCCTCGTTGTCACGGTCTGCTCTTCGTCAATGTGTGTAGTCTCTCGAACGGTTTGCTGGCTTGCCCCTGTTTCTTACATTTTCACATTTTCTATTCACCTTCGACTGATTTGCCCCCACCCCCACCCCACCCCCCCGCCCCTCCCGCTCAAATTCTACGCTTCGAGCGGCGTGTTCCTGTTTCTCAAATTTGCAGAGGTCCGACGAGTTTGCCCCTCTGCGATGGCAAAATCTCTTCTCCGTAAAAATTCTCCAATCTCTTTCGAAGGGGTAGAATGGCACCATCCCTTCGGCATGCTTGCTGCAGTTCCTCGAATTTTTATCTTTGCCAAGTTAGCTTGTCTCTTTCGAGCGCTGGCTCCTCCATGTCGAACTCTCTAGTGAGACAAGCGTCGAAAATCCCGACATTGAGCACCCACCCACCACGAGACAACCCAAAGCACGACATGCCGGAATAATAACAATGAACCCTACAGTAAACCGAATCAGAAGGGAAGTCAGAATAACATATTAAAGACATGACTGAAACAAAAACTTTCTCTGGCTCCTTGGGCGCTTGGCTCTTGCTCAAGACCGACTCAAGAGTTCCATCTTCCGCAGCTCGCAGAAGCGTGGCCGCCGCCTCCTGCACAGAATTGAGGATACCTTTAGGGCTTACGGTTTAATATAGGGGCCTAAATAATTACCAATACTATTTTGGCGGTTCCTCATTTTGCACTTACCACAGTCCCAGAAGTATGAAACACTGCTTGAAATGCCAGTGCGGCAACATCTGGCACCCTGGACTGGTCCTGCCGCAGCAGGTCGATGTCCTTGGTGTCCTGACCAGGGGTGGGCTGGACTTTCTTGCGTTCACCAAGGGGACCTCCGTAGTACAATCAGAAAGTTTGGACTCATTGGCACCTTGGAGGCGTCGATGAGGGCCTTCTCCAGGGAACCGTCCTCTCCGGAAGCCAAGTAGTTCCCGGATGTTCTGCCGTTTGTTTACTTGCAAGCTGTGCGCTCCAAGGAAGACCTCGATCCTAGCGCCATGCTGCACCGAAAGAGCCCTACGAGGCCTTGACCCCAAGCAGAGCCAGAACCAGAAGTTGCAGCCGATGTAAAACTCTTCTCTGCTAAACACTGCATATGGATAGTTGTCAAAATGATGGTCCCTTTTGGGGTACCCTAAATAATAAGTGCCGTATTTTAATAAGGACCCAAAAAGGGGACCATAATTTTGACAACCACCCATCTATTCCATGGCAGCCTCTGCGGCACTCAAGAGCATCTGCGCAGCGTGGAGGCCTCAGAAGAGCTCCGTCTCATGCTGCAGGAAACTCCCAGATGTGTGATCAGGTTTAGGGTTTAGGGTTTAGGGTTTTCCCTCTCGCATGAGCGTTTAGGGTTTAGGGTTTAGGGTTAAACTGGCAGGACTATGATATTCTTGGGGCGTTGAAACTTTGGATTCAAGGTTTATGGATTTCACACCGCTCGCAACTCCAAATCCAGGCCAGGGTTGGGGCGAGACAGCAGCTACATCTCAGCACACCGAGGAGCTGTCATCAGGGTCAACTAGCACTCAAGGATCAATGGCGAGGGGTTAGCCCTTGGCCACCGAGTAGCGGAGGACGTCCACATCTGTGGTTGTGGCTTTGGCAGGCTGGTTGGCCTTGCACTGATCAGGCATCACTCTCTAGGCTGATTCTGAAGAGGCAAACTGTCAGAGGATTCTGGGTTGGGAAGAGTCCGAAATCATCCATTCTACAACAGCGCAAACCCTTGTCCGAGGCCAAGCCATCAAGAGTCCAGAAAGGACACGAAAAGACACTTTAAAAAAATGAAGAAGACGGGAGCGCTTCCCGCAATTCTGCGCCTTGCTCCCCAAGACCTCCTGCAAGGATCCATCCTGGAGTCGAAACATAGAGCGTCGGGTCTTAGGCCAGCCTTAGGGCCTTACTGTAGGGCCCTGCAGACTTCAGGCTCTTCTGCCGATAAAAACTGAAACGTGTGAGTGCGTGCCTGGATGTAGGCATAATGCATGCATGCATGCGTGTGTGTATCGGATAAGACAGACAGACAGACAGACAAACAGACAGACAGACAGACAGATAGATAGACACGTAGACATGTTGACAGATAGAGGTAATTAGCTCGTTCTTTCTTGGGTTAATACGTTACAGGGTTAGTGAATTTAGTCTAGCTTGGTTAGTTTAATTTAGCTTAGCTTAGTTTCTTGCAGAGGACATAATAGGAGGTACCGCTGATGCCGGAAGTTTTTCAGCTTCATCAGCACGGTAACTCCCCAATCCACGTTTTATTGTCTAACCCGACAGTGCTTGCTCGCCTGACCTTGCGACGGCCATGGTATAACGCGGAGGTAAGACTTTGAGTTTCGCTACTGCTGGCACTGCCACCCACTGGCACTGCAACTGCGATTACGACGCTTCTTGCGGCCTTCTGGCCTGCACTCAGGAGTTCAGCTTAGGTTTGGTCGCCGGGCAACCTCGGCCGAAGCCTAACAAACACAACCTACTCGGGCGCTACCTTTTCGCCTGCTCTAAACCGGGGCGGAGCGATGTTAACATCCCGGCGCGTCCTCGGCAGCACGAAACAAAGCAGCCTGGGTCTTCAAGCGGAGGTTGTCCAAGTCCTCCTGACGGACGAAGGAATGTATAGGGTGCTGTGGCACAAAAGCTCCGAGCCTAACAGCTTCAGGCCCTGTCCAATTGCGCTGCTGCGCTCCAACCTACGCTTTCCACCCCTTGCGAGAAGCCCCAACAAAAAACGCTTATCTTATGCTTCTCCGGAAATCCCCCCCCCCTTCCGCCGCCTCTTCCGTCTTCATGTGCGCTACCTCCTGGGAGTCGGTGATGTCTTCCAGCTCTTTCGACATGGGTGGCAGCTCCGGCGCCTCTTGTCTGAAGATCTGCGGTAGCCCTACATGGACTTTACCTCTGCACAGCTGTGTTCAATGTTGCGTTTCTCTTGAGATACAGCCCCTTATTGTCATTTGGCCGGGATACTGTCCTGCTTTCACCGCTACTAGCATATGTTTACGATACTCTGCTTAGCCTTGGGACGGCTTCTTACAGCCAATGTTGCCGGTGGCGGTGCACCGTCTGTGACTTGTCCTGCCTCCTGAGAGTGGCTCAGGGCGTTCTCGAGGCTGCCGTCCTCCGCCGCCTGAAAGCAGCATTAGCCATGTAGGGCATAAGTGCTCCCGCCGGAGTTCACTTAGCAGAGAGGCTGTGGGCCAGGGAGAGGGTGCCTTGGAAAGGCGATTCAGGGGCCTAGTGTACAAACTACTCAGATCTGCGATCACATTGTGGCATGAGTATGACGGGGCTGCGATGAACTACGGTCTGTATCGTTAGCCACACATGGCCTGCTGAAGCTGGGTTGCGGTGCGCTGGCGGATGTCCTGTCACTTCAAGAGCAAACCGTTCTAGACTTGTCATCTGCTTGTTGCTAGGGCCGGGATGACGGGAAAGGCACGAACAACCAAAGATTCCAATCCTTTGGCATCATGCTTCGGCCTACTTTCTTACTGCGTCCAGTGAGTTGCGAAGGCTAGCCGCGGCAATCAAGTTCGCAATGCACATCCTGCGCAGCCTCATAGACCCGGAACTCTAGACGACCGGGGAAGCATGGGGATGACGTCTACTTGGAGGTCCATGGGTAGTTATAAGTGGGGTTATAATTAGGGTAACTATAGTTATAACCTATATTAAGGGACTTATAACCCTACTTATAACTACCCATGAACCTCCAAGTAGCTGACTGGCGTTGTTGCCAGACACTTGTTAAGGCCAGCACCGTCACTGAGATTGCTAGTCGTTCGACTATCTACATCTGTTATTCTTGCATGATCAGCTCAATTTACGAGCAGCTAAAAATAAGAATAATAAGAGTAGGAGCAAAACGATAAAAAGACTAAGACTAAGAAACAGAAGACTAAGAATACTCACAATGGTAATATTCGTGCTACAAACGGAAGCCTCCAAGTCTGCCTGGGCCAACTTCTTCTCGGCCTGGCTACCCGGCAAGCTGGACATCTGCCGGGTAGAAGCGGGGGCAAGCGTAAAGCAGCAGGGAAGAGGGTTTACGCTCTCACAACTCGGACATGCCTGGCGAGGTTCCAGTCTTTGGCGTTTTGAGTCTCACGACTCGGACAATGCAGAGAAGGTTAATCCAGTTGCGAAGGCTAAGCTATGGGGCCCCGGCCCATCCAGGAACCTCCTTACAATTCAATGCGGTTCTGCCTGCACATTGCCACCAAAGTCGCAACGATTTACAAAAATGGCCCAAGAAGCTCCGCAACTTCGGTGCTTAGCTTCGGCCACACGCTGCGAGTCAAACTCCGCTGAATTTAAGGGAGGCAAACCCCATCCTGAACCTTCCTAAAACTTCTCAGGCCACGGATATGCTCAGACGAGCGCATGTGCATAGTCTTGAAAACCTGACCATTACATCGCAAACTCAATTTATCAAAGCCTTTGACAATTTGACAGTTTGGAAGATAATATGTTCTGAATCCCCTTTTTGAACCCAGACTCTGCCAATCAGCTGGGAAGCAGCACGTCCAGACTATTGCATCCGGGAAGTAGCGCCGCCAAACTCAAACCTAACTCCCTCAACACGAGAGGCCTGCAAAGTCTATCGCGTACTGATGATCATCTGCACTGAGAACTGAGAATGTGGTAACACATTGATGGTCCTGCCATACTGTTCGAATCCAGGATTCCAGTTGATGTAAGCTTGCGTTCTGAATCCCCTTAAACCCTAAACCCTAACCCCTAAACCCTAAACCCTTACAGCAGGCCTCGTACACAGCAGC